ATAAACCCACATTGTGTTTAATAGTGCTAATTTTTTCTAACAGTCACTCTTATATTAATGATAATAATAATAAAAAAAAATGCATTAATAAAACTACCTAGGTACTTGCATGTCCAATTTTGTTTTTATTCCAGTGAAACTAACTAATGATTTTATATACGCTTTATTCATTTTGCTAAAACGCACACTTCGACGAAAGTAGCTGGATGCTTTTATGGTGAAAAATATTTTATGAATAATTCAGTACGCTAAAAATGACGAATACGTCCGTCGTAAATATTCAACGCATTCGACACGATATTTTGTGGAAATATAATTTCTAAATACTGCCGCTGTAGTCGCTGTACGGATAAGCCCGTGCATTGATCGTGTGAACAGCGTGTGGTGCAACACAGTAATAATAATAATAATATTAATAATAGTAATATAAAACTATGTGCGTTTGAACTAAATATGATTTCGACTGGTTTGCATACTTCAAGTCGTGTTACCGATTAACTTGTAACGTTATTACGGTATTCGTTACGGCGAGTAGATTTGCCGAATAATTTTTTTTTATAAATTCTTGATTATGATCTCCATCATGTTTTCTGTAGCAATGGTTCCGATACTTGTTCGACTACAAAGTCATGTCGTAAATGTTACAAACAGTTAATCCGACTAGAATGACAAGAAACGAAAAAATAAAAATGCACGTACGCTCTTTTAATGCCCGAAATGTTCTCCCGGACTGAAATTAGAGAACCTGTTCACTGCAGTTGTTCAACGATCGAGGTTGACCGTATGGCGCAAGTACGTGACATTTCAGACGATGGATCAGAAACGATTCGGATAAAAGTATACGGTATGACCGAGGAGGCAGACGATGTGCTCCCTACATCGCCGTCATAGACAGTCATTCCAGGGGCTTCAGGAGGTCACCTGATCCATTGTTAATATTTTTTAACAAAATTGGCCCTCGAAGTAAAACATCTCTATGCCGAATCTCGTGTAAAACGAAATCCTCCATAAATAAAATAAACATAATGGTTATCAATTACGAATAAACTTAAAAACACATACTAAACGATCATTATGTGGTTTTTTTTTTTTTTTGTTACAAGGTATACGAGTACATTCATAATTCAGTTTCGTCCCTGGCCTAAGTGGCCTCTAGAAATAGCCCAATCCACAGTTTGTCCCTGAGACATTCGAAAACGACCGTCGTGCACGGTTAGGGTCGGGCTACGCGCGTATACGTATGCATTTTATCCGGGCATGTGTCGTATCGAGTCGGAGCGTATTAAGTAAGAGATTAATCTCCGGCTCTCGCACGTCGCGTTTTACACCGCGTTCGGGATATAAACAATATTGAAACGTGTCGGGTCATAACGCGTTAAGTGATTTATTTTCAACGGCCAAATGAACCGAAATCGATAACCGTGACGTAAATTCTAAGGTTCAAGTATACGATCACGTCGTACAACGTGAAACGGCGGATACAGCTTCGATCATAATATTATTTAATATGTTCTTATCCCGTCAAACCATCAGCCGTAATTGAACTACACATCACTGCGTATATCTTAAACTTGTTTATAAATATCACCAATATCCGAACTGTTTCAGGTGAACAACTATAATAACGTTACGAATTTCGTTTATGGATTTTTAAAATCAAGATTAATAAAAATTAAGAAAATTATATAATTAAGTATATTTTTTTTTACTATTCATAGGTGCGCCGAATCGTTTAAAATCATCTCTTAACAATCATATCAGGTTGTGTCCGGCGATTTAAAACTAATCAAATAATTGCAAATTAGTTTAGAAAAATATTTGGTATCAATTCGTGGTCGGGTATAACATTAAAGTTTAGCGTGCGTGATGTTATGATAATGTTTCTTGTACATTTTACAAAAAAAAAAAAAAAAAAAAATTGGGCTTTCCGTTCCTTAATAAATAATAATGGACAAATATTATTTCCGATTCTAAATCATCCAACCCAGATCGCCTAGTACCTAAGAATATCTACACGAATGGCGTATAGCAAAGATGTGCAGCTTTAAGTTACCGGATGGTAAAAAATAAGAATCAACTATGGACATGTTATGTTTAAGACGTTTAGCGATCAAAACTTAAATGAATTTGATAGAAAATGAAGATAATTTTCATCAAGATTTCACTAAAACTATAGTAAAATATTATGCTTTATATAAATTTATAACGTAGATTATTGTTTTCTCAAAATTTTATCAATTAGTTTTTATATTTAAAAGTGTTTTGATTTTAAATGGTAACACAGACTAGATCTAAATGGTATGCATACTGCTAATTGCCTGTTCCGGCCGTATAACCCGCATTGCGTACCATTATATCTTCATAGATGTTATAACCCAACAGTGGCGTAATTTCAGGTTTTTTCTAGAGTAATAAAATCAAAATGCTCTTACTTGACGGCTCGTTTTGCCATTATTCCGATATTTCGATAAACAAGGTGGAAAGAGGACGTCAAATCAATTCAAAATATTATGATTTGTACTTGGTACATATGTACGAGTACAGTACACGTCTCATTTTTCGATTTGCAACACATCAATGGCTTTATAAAAAATCTATTTATATTTTGATGTTGTGCTGACTTTGGAAGATTTAAACTCTGGACTGTGGAAAATGTTTAAGTAAATTTGAATGTCTCCTCCTCTCAGAAAAAAAAAATATGCCACTGAGACCTAGAACAACATTTACACACTTGGTGCGAAACCGTATAGCGTTTTCAGCGTCCAACCATTTCGGCACTTATTTGTTCACTGTGAACGATCGTGTGCAATCCTTCACGTGGTTAATTATTGTTATTGCTCAACGTATAAATCCGTGTACGATATGTACAATACATATTATCATCGGCGCGTCGTATTGTCAGGCTCGGTGACAAGGATAATAATACTCGAGTACGTCTTATCATCTAGTGGTGCAAACATTAAACACGTATTGTTGTTGGCGTCGCAGCGTACTTGATATTGTGCACCTAACGATCGTCAATTATAAATACGACTTACAAGTGTATTGTTGCATGTGTGTGTGTATTCAATTGAAAATACTTCTAATAGTCCAATAGGAAATTATATCAGACTTGAAAACGGTACAACGCTCGATCATTTGTTATCGTCTGACCTTTTGTACGGTTGTAAAGGGTTGTTCTAATCATTATAGAAGTTTGATTATAACACATTGTCACTAAACGAGATATAACAATATATTATTATTGTCATTCAAACGTTTCTTTTATACGAGAAGGATTTTGCTCTTTAACAGAGTTGACAACTGGATCCGGTAACATTGCGGGACAAACAATTTTAGCCATTTTCTTGATGCGCCGTTTTTGTAATCTACGTCACTTAGACGAAATAGCGTGTACTGGGTACATAATTTTTCCACTACACTAACCACATTTGATTAACTTACTCGCAACATTCATCTAGTAAATCGTGTTACATTATCATGTATGAGAAGTGATATGTGGTTGGTAAACTCTAGCATCGTTTGATTTATTTCTAACATCATCACCAGACCAAATGATAATTAATAACTTCTATGGTTACTGAAGCCCCCTTTCCTGAAGAGGATTAGAATACAAACCAACCAACGATTTTTCATTCTTCAATCACGACTTTAATATTTCACTAATCGTTGTGATTTTAATCACCTTGAACACAATTACAAATATTAACGATGAACAATTTGATTTGCGTTCCCACGGTATGGCGTACATCAAACACGTGTATAATTATAACTACGTCCTTCTTTGATTCATGGGAATGTTGAAACAACCGAAACTATATTTACCTAAACTTAATTTAAAACATAGATAGTATGATCAAACCAATTTGTAAGATCCATAGTTACAAATTTTATGGCTCATCTTGATCAATTGATCATAGGTCAATCAATGAACGATGTAATGTGTGTATTGCAATAAGTCTAGGCTATGTACGAAGGTAAATTAAATTTTATAGTTATATTAAAATATCTCCATAATTTTATCAAAACATTTTGAAAATATTGCGTTCGATCAAACAAAAATCAATAAGAAAGAAAAATAAAAAAAAAAAACAAATCAAAATCACATATCATTAAATAATATTTTAACATTTAACAATATCCAAAATATCGTGTTATAACCGGTAAAAGTACTACAAAGACGCATTGGCCATGTATAAAGTTTTCAACAAGAAGTTAAATTTTGTTTTTGCCCTTCTGTAGAATAATGAAAATGTCATTACACAAACGCCTTGAATATATTATATCATGGCGAAACGGCCACGTAATTATATAATTTCATGTTGTTACAGTATATAATTTTATTTTGTTCTCGTATGAAGACTATCGAACAGTTTCTAATTATGGTAATATGTAAAGCCACCTAGTGCACTGCTGTAATTTTTAATGAAAAGTTGTCATCGTTTAATTATCAGTCAGGATGGAAAGTCGTCGGCAAACGAGCGTATGAGAATTCCGAACATATCATAAATATAACAATAATCGTGTAGGTACCGATTGTACGCGGGACACCCTATGTTATGACACTATATATGAAAACATATTAATTACAGTTACACGGAACCGTGTAAGAAGCATAATATTATGCACAAATTAAACGCAGTGTGAATATACTATAATAGTATAATTGTCAATTCATTCATTGGTCATGGTTTTACGTAGCAGCTTTCACTCGCTCCAAACGTATTCACTATATTCATATTTTGTATCCGTTTATTTTGATATTACTGTCGCCGTGTAGTGATATTTGAAATTAATTAGATACGTCGAAATGCCAATACGCTTGGAAAAAACATTAATTTAAATAATGACATTCGAAACAACGATATAATGCTAATATTTATGATTTCGATATTATTGTAATGTTGTAGTACGTAGATTTTTTGCTGAATCTTAAAACTACATACATATAAACATCACATTACACGTTTATATTTATATGGTAAAATATTTGGTTACAGGAATGACGTGGAGATGCGTGCAATCCACATGCGTTTTAGAAACGGATTTTGGACTTTCGATCAACTGTGGATTAAAAAAAACTGGAATGTTCCGCGTAAGAAACCTTGGTGGCTTTAAAGGATACGTCGGACTAGGTATGTGTTTATTCTTGAAACAATTTTTATTAGGTGTTCAATTTATTAATACTGATTTCTTTATTTTAGAAAGTATACTATGGAATTACTATTAAAATTGTACTTAATTTATTTAAATTATATACTTTTAAAGCTAGAAATTGATTTCGCTACATTAACGAGTAATATATACAGAGAGCTTTGGAGTTTTCCAAAATATAATTCACATAAGATTATGACAAACAGTCATATTAATATTTTCATATAGATTTTTAATTTTAAATTTAATTAAACCACGATCGCAAATTATAATTTATTTACTGTTTAGTCATACTAACTGCAAGGAATTATTATTTTCATATCATCTTTATGTTTATGTAAAAAGTTGTAAAAATTAGTATTTATCGTGATGTTAAAAATCAAAATTGAATTTCCATTTTTTAAATAAAAAAAAAATCCGTAAATGTTAATCTCGTTTAACCATAAATAGTTACCGCAAAATCCTTGAAAATATTTATAAAATCTCTGGAAGAATTGTATCATTTGGGAATAGTAAAATATTGAAACTCTGAATAATAAAAGCGACATTTTTGAGTAGCATAAATAATAAAGTAACAGATGCGAATGGATGAAAAATTAAAAAAAAAATAAACTGAAAAAATTGATTCTATAAAATGCAATAAATCTAATTCTTTATTCAGTTCAAAAATTATATTAAAAAAAAAAAAATAATAATTAGAGAAAAATATATATTCGTGAAAAAAATAATTTAAACTTCAGTTTTTGAATATGTTAAAATACAAAAACCTATTAAATTGTTGAATTTCGAATAAACAAATTAAAATAACTACGATTTATGAAGAAATACAACTGAGTCAAAAATTTAATGAAGTATAAAATATTATAATTTTATAATATTTTACATTTTCAGTTTTAGTTTAAAATTAGGTTGTTTGCTATCTGAAATTCATAAATTAAAATAATAATTGAATAATCTCTTGTAATTCAATATAGTTTATTCTCAGATGCTCAAGAATAGTGAAAATGCCTATTGCGTTTTTAAAACGCGAAATAATGCGTAATTTTTTATTTTAATGGTAGAAATTTATTCTTTTAAATTATTTACGCTTTGGTAAAATATTCATTCGTATTTAAAAATGCAATAACCGTACCTAAAATGAGTATTTTAAAATTTTGGATTTTCGAAAACCTATATAGAAGTATGAATGTACCTACCCTTTACAGGTATCGTCAGATTAATGAGGGAAAATCGATGAACAGTTTCATGGGACACTTTCATATACTCGTATATTTCCTAAGATCTCTCACGATCCTGATGGAACCCATTCCCCCATTTATCTTAAACATCGATTAGTCTAACGCTGCCCTTTGGTATACGGTATGATAATTAATTTTTTAATCTTTTAAATTTAAGTGTTTAAATAATCACTGATAAATTTACAATGTTTCGTCGAGTAGTTTAATATGTTTTTAATACCTTCAAGCAGAAAAAATGTAAGTTATTTGAATCCGAGTCCCCTTATTTAAAACGTCTTTTTTTTTCCAATGTTACCTAGGTATTAATTATAAGTTATTAGTCTCCTTCGCAGTGCCTCCTGATATTTTAATTATCCAAAATACAATGGGATATTTTTAATATTCAGTTCAAATCAAACCGTAGTAGCTCGTAGTATTCGTACAACTAATGACTAACCAAATAAAAAGTAATTCAATAGGAATTTTTAATATGTTCGATAAATGTTAATGAATATTCCATTCATCAGTACCTTCGGTGCATATAATTGATTTAAATATTTAACGCGTAGGCAATAGAACGATGGTTGTTCGTTCATTTCACAATTCAATTAATTGATATTATATCGCGTAAAAAGTGTAAAAAAAAAAAAAAAAAAAATTATATTTTTTCTTCCGAATACGTCTCTATACTAATTGTACATCAGTATATGAACAAAAAAAAAAAACAAATTAGTTAAGTTTTAATTGTTTCAACCAAACGTTCCCCGCCGATCGCCCGTAAAGGACCGCTCGATGTTTAAGTGCCTATCAGCTCATGCGGTAAGCTGTCGAAAACATCGTCCGCATCTCACGTATTGATCATTCGCGTAGACACATAATCGATTAACATTTTCTGTCGTCGTTAATTGCATTGTGTTACGTTCGCAGGTATTCAACTGGCCGACGAACTGGGTTTCAAGGAGTCACTCTCATCCCTAGAACAGAGCAACAAACGCCGTTCCGTCAACGGGTTCCTCGCACCAGGATCGTTCGAGCCTCTGGCCGTGCCGCATAACAACGACAATCAAGCCGTGAGTGTAATTATTTGTAGTTGTATATATATGTGTAATGGCCTTACCATTGTTGATGTCGTTCGAACGGTGGCTACTGCTAATTTATCCTTTGCATTTCCTCCTGAACCCAGATTGGATTTTTTTATCTTTTTATCGTTCGCAAAAATGGATAGCGTAGGGTTACCATTTATCCCGATTTCGTCGGGACACTACTGGTTTTCATTACACAGTCCTGATATTTTTCAACTCCCGGACGGAACATGAATATGTACCGGTTCCTTAAAGTTAGTGTCGAATTACTGTCACACGTGAATAACTATAAATAAACAAATGTCGGAAATTTCGGAGTTAACCGAGGACCGATAATTTAGTGTTTCGTAGCAACATAGCGTATACAATTTATAGAATTGACGACTATCAGCCTTCAGCCTTACGTCAAACGTTCTATATATTGTGAACTTGTACTGTTCTTGCATTTAAATTTAATAACTTACTGTGAATCTGTTGTTTACAGTTACGAATTTTTATTTTCATGCTATTATATCTAATTTACATTATATGCATACATTATGACTCCAAAACGATTATGCAGCTTCAATGACAAACTCCAAAATAAATTTCCATTCATTAAAAAGGTAAAAATCAACACTAATTTTGATGTGCAATAAATTGTAATAACATATTTTACATATTGTATAACTTATCATATGAAATCTAATAAACATAAAATAGCACAAAAAAATGCATCGACATCAAACAAAGTAAATATTTATTTTTTTAAACCATTAAGAGTTAACGAAGAATCATTGAAATTAGCGGCCAAAGAAGTAATCTTAGTTTTTCATACTGTTATACATAATCATAGCTTTAACTCTATGACTTATATAGCAAGTATTATTCGTCAATTATTTAATGAAAAAAAGTTTATTTGTGCTAAAACAAAAACCCGTGATTTTTTTAATTTATTTTTTTTTATTAACATCTAGTGTACAACTATGATAGCTCAACAATTAATTATTATACAATAAATAAAATACATAATAAATTATAATATACAATTATATAATTAAGCTATTCAATATAAATGAAATTACAATTTTAATGACAGTTGAGAATTTTTTATTAAAAATTGAGTATTAAAGTACTAAGTACTAAGTATTAAATACTAAGGGATTTTAGTGCATTAAAAACCCGTAATCTAATAGTAAATATTTTAGCCTCCATCGTTATGGAGGTATAAATACTATTGAAGTTTTGAAAAAAAGTTAATTATATAATTCTGTGCTGGTTGATGCCTCAAATCACTAAATAAAGTCCTATTTAGTACTACCTGTAAGATACTTTAATCCAGAAAATGGAGATAAATATGATATTTTGAACTATTCAAACCTACCCGGAGAAACGGTAGAATCAATTCACAATAAAATTGTAAAAATATTTAATTCAAAGAAAAATAATAAGTTTCTCAGGACATAATACAAACACAAATGTTGGTGGTATTGCAAGAAAAAGGAAAATAATGTATTTTTAAAATTAAAAAATACAGTCAAGTCGCGATAATTCGAACCTCGGTAACTCGAAAAACTTGACAACTCAAATTGTGTTTTATTCCCCTAGAAAATTCTTCCCCTATAAATTAGTTAGATATCTCGAATAATACATATCTCGAAGTGAATTTTTATCCTCCTTCAACTTCGAGTTATCGCGACTCGACTGTAAATTAAAGCGTAATATTTTGGAACTAGTTTGCTGTGCACAGGTAATACATTACAGTATTCAGTGTTGAAACCAGTGTTGGGAATAGATAATGCAAAATTTATCTATATAAAGATAATAGATAAAAAAAAATTAAAATATCTAGATAAAAAAAAAGATATTTTCAAAAAATTTTATTTGATGGTCAATATTTCATATTATTTGTAATAATATCTATGAAGACACAATTATAATCATTATTATCAATAGGTACCTAAGTGTTTAATGTTTATTGTAGTAATGAAATGTAACATTAAGCAGTATTTATATATAAAGTAGAGTATTTAATGATAATTAATCACTAAAATGTGACACAAAAAAAAAAAAAAACAAAAAATAGCTTAGTATCAGGATGAATACAGAATACATAAAAGATTATTTTAAGTTAACAATATTTTTTTCCATATAATCTCAATTTGATGATTTTCATTATTTTAAAAGTAGTTACGATTTTACGGATTCCAAGAGTGAAGTATTGACTATTCAGTGTATGAGTTACGTGTGTATACTAAAATAAAATATATATAATAATAATAACTATATTTTTAACTTCCATGGAAAAATAAAAATTAAGTTTAAAAATACCAAAGATATTTTTCCGACATGAAAATACAAACAAAATGTCATACCAAGGAATAATAATTACTTATTAATAATACACGAATTATAATTATGAATACAAAATCTATATGTATATAAAAGTCGGGTTGGTTACAAAATTTATAATTCAAGAACGGTTGGACCGGTTTTGATGATCTCTGATTTATTGGATTCGTCTCCACACAAGAATAAAATAACTCTAATCTTGGCAAGAATTCAGACAATTATCTAGATAAGTAAACATTTTATCTTAGATAAGTAATTAGATAACTTAGCGTTATTTATCTAGATAAGATAAAAGATGACAAAAAATCTATCTAGATAAGTTCCAACACTGGTTGAAACATTAAAATAATTTTGTTCGTTTGTTGATATTCAGTATAAATAAATATTATAACAATCCAAAACAAGATGGTTATCGTTATATCCGGCAATTGAAAGAATAATATTAATGTTTAGTGCACTCAAATCGTATTTTTTATTTCAAAATAACTGTTAAAACGTTTTAAAAACCTTTCTTTAAGATGAAACTTCTATTTTATGGCTTAACTTCTTACAAAATTAATTGGAAACTATTAATATTTACATTAAAATAATTGAAACCAAAAACTTTGTGTGGTGGAAATTATACTAATCATGGAAAAATTAACTGAAAAATTAAAAAACAAAACAGATGATTAATTTTTACCAAGTGATATTGGGACATAACTTGTTCATGTAAAAGAAAGTGATGAAATAATTAAATCAGAGTTTAAAAAAACATGTACTAAGTTTTATAACTTATGTATAAATTATATAAAAGATTGGTCTGCTTCAAACCAATACATACATAAATTAAATTCATAAACATGAGTGTGTTTGTCAAAGATAAAATAAATTGGTCAAATATAAGTCCGTCGATTTCTTTTCTAAAATTAAATTTTAAAATTAATTTAAACAAAGAAGAACTGTACGAACAATTTAAAATGATTGAACAACTCTAAAGAAAAAAAACCAATGAATGACAGACAATGCAAAAAATCTGAAGAAAAATGTTTGTCAATTTTTAAATTATTTACAGCAGTAACCGAAAAGAACCGATACTGGAACCGGTTAACCTTTAAAATTTAGGAACCGTAACTGAAACCGGAACCTATATTTCGAAAAATTAAAAACAGTAACCTTAATTATAAAAGGGTTAATTTAGGTCAGTTATTTAGACTTGTAAAAATATGCTAATGAGTATTTTGTTTGTCCATTTGTCGGTTCAGAAAAATAAAAGTTAAATCTTTTTATGTTTTTATTATTTTGTGTTGTAAACTGTAATAGTGTAATTTATATAATAAATAAATGTATAATATTATTATTATTATTATTTTTATATGTTTATTAATATATTACAATTTACAATGAATATATCATCTATCTTGTCTATTAAGTATTAAATATAATTCATGTTTTATAAAAAAATTGTAGCTACAACAGTAGCCAGTATTAACTTTAATTTCTAAATAAAATAAAATTTTAAATTAAAGATACTTATTTCATCAAATCATAATATTTCACAATATTACAAAATATTTTACAAATTCTTACTATGAGTTGGAATAAAATAACTTAACCTAACTCAAAGAAATATAATAGGCTTATATAATATATGTATTTAATATATTTATAATTATGTTTTTTAACTCTTCATAATACCTTCTATTTTCATAAAATGAAACAATTTAAACAAGAATAAATAAATAATTTCATATTATTTTTTAATAAATTCTTAATAATCAGAATTAACCAAAATTAACCGGTTTTAGAACACTTACTCTTTTTAAAAACCGAAATTTTAACTGGAACCCTTAAAAAATTAATTGAACAACCGGAGCCGAAAAAACCTATAAGTTCCAGTTCCTGATTTACAGAGAATAATGTTGATTAACCTATGTTATTAAAAACTGTAGAATTTACTCTAGCATTGCCTGGTTCTAACGCCGCAGGGAAGAAAATAATTTCATTGATGAATAGTTATTGGACAAAGTCTCGAGATAATTTATGTATTAAAAACGAATTTGAAAAATAAAGCCTGTCAAAAATTCTATGAAGAATTTTCAAAAAATAAAGATCAAGTTTATAAAACTATAAAATATTCATCCACAAATCAAAAATCAGAAATAGTAGCTTCTGGATATAAAATATCAAAAGATTCGGAAAATGAAGAGTATGATTAAATTGATAACTGATGATGAATACATTAAGAAAAAACATATTGATAAATAAGCCTTCATCTTCAATTCTTGATATGAGTTATATTCTTGATCTTCCATTATCTGACTTATGTATTGCAATTATGGTCTTCCTCTATGGTTTTTTTCGTCGATTATACCTTCTAAGATTAATAATAGTAGCCCATTGTATCTTAAAATATGACCTATGAATTCATTTCGCCTTTTTTGTATACTCATTGATTTTCTCTCCGATACCCTTTCTAAAACTTCTTCATTAGTGATTCTATCAGTCCAACTTATCTTTTGCATCCTTCTATAGCACCACATTTCGAATGCCTTTATAGTTCTAATTTTTTCTCTTGCAATAGTCCATGTTTCACACCCATATAACATAATGCTCCAGATGTACGTTTTTCGTAGATTCTTCCTGATATTAAGGTCAATGCTTTTTGAAATAAAAAT